ATGTATGTATGTATGTATGTATGTATGTATGTATGTATGTATGTATTGTGTGCGTGCGTGTGCGTGTGTGTGCCTGTGCCTGTGCGTGTGTGTGCGTATGTATTGTGTGCGTGCGTGTGCGTGTGTGTGCCTGTGCCTGTGCGTGTGTGTGCGTATGTATTGTGTGCGTGCGTGTGTGTGCGCGTGTGTGCAGGCTTGTAATTTGTATGTAAATACATGCGCGACTTTGTGTGTTTATTCGTCATAGTTGGATGAGGGGTTAGGTCATCTTTGTGGAACTGACCACAGTGAGGCCCTCTTATCTACACTCGTACTGAGGAACGCCATTTCTGTTGGATGCCAGCAGGTCTGGATCACCTTGTCCTTGTGCGTGCCAACCGTTACAGTGGAAAGAGGGTGCTCCAAATCACCTATACAGACACAGACGAATGAATTCATTGAAAAAATGACATTGTTTGAGCAGTAGATTAGCACGTGTAAATAGACACATCATGCACTTTTGGGTAGAATTGTGAAACTGCATACACCTGCTAAATGAGTTCTTGGAGATTTTCTGATATAGTGCCAGTTGAACAGCGCCATCTGGTCTATCGTTTATGACAGCAGTGTGTATTTACAGTGATCTGGTAAGCCTAGGGGTCAGGCAATTTTTCTGTGGTCTGCATATCACTATCACCTTCAATAACCTTCAATAACATCTCCAGTTTACCCGCAAAGTCATGCCGTCACATGATGTATATACATACAACTTTACACACATAGAGAATCTCACCTTGTTCGTGAAGGTTCGTGAGTGCGATCGTCTTGTCGAAGGAGCCCGTGAGCAGGTAGAAGGACCGCGGACACAGGTGCGCCGAGCGTAGCTCCGCCGCATGCGGCTGGAACGTCTGTATGACGCGCGCGCCGCGTACGTCGTACAGCATGCAGCTGCCATCCTCGTGACCGGAAGCCAGCAGCCTGCCGGACTCGTCCACCGTCACTGTGCACGCGGGACTCGCTGAAACACGCAGGTTCGCGTCAGACCGACGGCTGAGCTGTGGTTGCCCTTCACACAACCCCACACTAGCTCCCCCCGGCACATGTGGCTCCCTCACATGTGTTGCGACACACTCTACAAGGCAGACGTTACCAGGCAAGTGCGATGCGATGTTACAACATACAGATGTAGTCGCTATAGGAGTGATATGATGATTAATTAGTTTGTCACGCCAGACTTACAGTACTCGTGTGAATTTCATGTGGATTCATGGGAATTTGGAAATGAGATTGTTGCGGGACAGTCAGTTCACCTGGACTTCCTCCTCCTGCTGGTCCATGGGGGGATATTTTTAGAATGAAGGTTCCTGCTCTCAGATCCCAGAAACGGACGGACCTGTCGTGCGACCCACTTGCGAACATGGCGCCACCCCACGTGCAGAGAGACAGAACATGTCCTGCAGAGAAAAGCATGGAAATGCAGCTCTATATGGTACGAAATGTCAATCGCAAATATGCTCATAGCACCATATGTGATCAGGAATGAATAATATAGATTATTCACTTTATTATTCACTCCTGATGTGATTTATATAGATATTGTCTCAATTGAATCAATATTAAAACAACATCACAATTATAAATTAATGATTCTTAATCGTTTTCGACTCAACCCATAGTCTGGCCACCGGACTATAGCTTGGCCATACATCACTTCAGCCAGTAATGGCCCACAAAGGAAGGTCACCAAAGACCCTTGGAATGGCTTGCCAACACAGAGTCCATTGTCAGAAACACAATTATAGCAAGATAAATCTTTTCTCATAGACTAATAACAGAAACATGGCAAAGTTACCTACGAGTTTCGCATACGCAGTGTATAACCGTATCTACAGGATGGCAGTGTATGTCTATGAGAAAAAGTCAAGATTAGACTTATTTTGTTTCTGAAAACGAGCCCAGCTTTTGGTTGTCACCCAAGGGTTAATAAGTTTCTGGGCAGCTAGCCTTTACACTAGCTTTGGCCTCTACTCTCGTTTACATGATTGGAAAGGTGTTTTTAGGGGGAAGTGCCAGAGAATTCCTACCCGTGTGGCCACTGAGAGCGTGTATCGGCGTTCCTGTATCACAGTCGCAGATATAGATCTTACAGTCGCCCGCACCACCACTGATAAGCAGGCTGGTCTGGTTGCTGGAGTCCTGCATGAATGTGAGATCTCTCACTGCACCGTCGTGTATCCTTAGCTCCATAGGAGTGCCTACAGCGTGAAAGCTAGCTGTTACTACAGATATGGAATAAAGATCTACTATTCTATAGCTATGCTGTTACCATCAAGCTGTTAATGTAATATCACGTTACGACGTACATTGGTGCGGTATCAGCGTCATGAAGTAGACATAAAAGGGTTGCCAAGACCGTTAATCAGCTTTATCATGAAAATTATAAAACAGGAAATAAGTTATGTTTTGTTAAATGCATTGGTTAATTGTGGATTAACGTATCAGATCACTTTTACCTTACTGACTTCAGTTATTATAAGCAACTGCAACACAGACTTTTCTGATCGAGCAAACCTCAATCAACTTTGGCAGTTTTTAATTTAAAAAAATTGCCGGTTCTGTAGACAAGTACAGTTGCCACATACATCTATTAAAAATTTATTCCCTTTTCTAGTGAATTTTTAATCATATGCATCGCTGCTGCCATAACATTTGAAATTGTGATACAGTAATGTACGTGGAGCAGCAAACGTGCCTGCAAAGTTATGCGTTGATGTTGTGAACCGCATCAGCTTGATAGTTTTGTCACTGGAGCCTGTGGCTATTAGGTTCCCACAGGGACTCCATGCCAGACACGAGACGGATGATTTGTGGATCTTCTCAATTCTGTGGATCTCGGTCGCTGGAGTGGCAGCATGGGAGGCACTGGAAATCAGCAATATGAACGGCTTGTCTATAATATGTTCTCCTTTAACTGAGACAAATCTTTGTTTCATGCTGGAAATATCATGCCTAAAGCCACCAACAGGGGGTGGGGGTAACTCAGGATGGGGGGAGGGTCTCTACCCTGTAACCTGCCTTGTGCATAAAACTGGCAATCGCAGGCTTGACATATACCCATATATCATGAGGTCACGAAAGGCAAGGAAGGTATAGGCAGGTGTTGGTGGTGGTGGTGGTGGTGGTGGTGGTGGTGGTAGTGGCGGTAGTGGTGGTATAGTGGCGGCGGTTGAGATGGCAGTGGCGGCGGCCTAGAAATAAATAAAAGGTAAGGTAAGAGTGAGGAAGAATGGGAACGCAATTACGCCCTAATTAGCAATTAATTTAATCAGAAACAAGCACATTAGTGCAATTACAACGTATCACATTCGCCATTCAACTCGATTCTATGTGGATATATACCAAATACCTGAGGCCTGTTAGGCTGGGCATTGCGCAGATGCACAGCACCCTGGAGTTAGACCCCGTTGCATATATCTCTCCCCCGGGATGGAATGCCGCTGCTCGTATGGGCTGCTCATCCTTCAGCTCGGTCACCTTCAGGAAGGTCGTTGGATTCTCCTGTAGGACGTAAATAGCAGTTATCGAGATACGACTAGCTGGTATATCCCCGTACGCTTAGCAGGCATCCGGCTAGGCACAATATAATGTCCCCCAACACAAGAGCAGGGTAGACAAAGATAATGTAACCCAACCCTACTCTTTGTGTCTGGTTACATTATTGTGTCTAGCATCCGGCCTGTTTCATCCCTGGGCTACGTTATCGTATCTCACCTGTTATCGTAAATGCAATTACAGGTAATACAATTGTAAACACAATTCGTGTTTATTTACTATTATCGCTTACGATTTTAAACTGCTAGTGTATGTGACCGAATCCTTGTTGTAATATAACGTTACGAACATATGTTGTTGATGTTGTTTATTGATCCCACGTCAGACGATCACGCGCGCATTCACGCTCGCACGCACGCACGCACGTACATCTACACACTATCGTAACAAGAAATATTTTTTCATAATTGCTATCTTATTCGTGTGGACATCATGTTCTAAAATAGCTTAACCTGAAACACCTGCGGCTTATGCTCAATACGGACAATCACGCACGATTTACATGCATCTTTAAGTTTCATAAAGATCATTTCACATACCTCGTCGAAGATATCATCCCTTGCCTTGAACTCTTTCTTATGCTTTGCCTTCGCCGAAGTCATCATCCCGGATTGGTGATCACTAAAAATTCGATTACCGACCAGATCAAACACTGACGACATCGATCTCCATCACACTATTTGTATGGCAGACTATTATCGCACCGCTGATACCTCGCCCTAAGTGACTGTTTATCTGCCGCACCAGATGCCAACATATATACAAGGTATCTTTTGCTATTCACGAGCATATATTTCACAGCCACTCTGTATATCTGCATAACATATGTCTACGTGCAATCGGACCCGACTCCGGGTATGCACCGCGATTGCGATAGCTTCAAGGAACGGACGATGGCCGCGTGTGCATTAGTCACGCTGCGTCGACGGGCTGCGTCGGCGAGGAAACACCCAGGTAAACAAGCCATATGTATGCCCCTCATACGCTCGCGCGCCTCACTGCGCACGCGTACGTGACATCGTCATACCTGTACCGACGCCGAGACACGTCGATATGGATCAGTGCCTGATAGCAGGCAGGAATGGAGCACCTGAGGCGTTACGCACACACACAACTATAGCGGCACATCACCGCGCCGCCACATGATGATGCATGCAGACATGAATGAAGGCATTAACGCTTACTGAGCCACAGCAAGACTCGGTTGCGAGACTATACATTGCCAATACACGTTCTTGTATGTAATCTTACGTACGTACGTACGCATTCCTGTGCAATCTCTCATTGTGCGAGCGTTTCATGGTCTGGCCGTTCAGCTAACTGACGCATAACGCCCTTAGCGGCTTGTTGAATGACGATGACGACACCGACGACGACGATGATGACGTGGAATCATGGAATGCATTCGCTACAGTTCCCCTCGCTACATCCTCTCAGCGCTGCACGGTTGAGCGAACCACGTCTGCGGACGACGCAATATGTATCTATAGCTCCGGAGGGAATTCGCAAAGTAAAAGGTCACCCCAATACCGTCAGTTCCGCAATCAAATTTCCAAACCCTAGTCGGCGTACGCTATAACCAATAAAACGAGAGTCGTCCCACAGTCTCCGTGTATCCGTTAGTCTGTGGTCGCCCCCTCCAACTCCGGCGCGACATCTCGCCATTAAAAATCGTACGTAAGCTCGTACGCAGGTCTACTTACACTGGCCACTGCAGCACGACGCGGGTATATTACCACTCCCTGAGAGCCGACGTAAATCTATACACAGTGCGGAAAAAATGACTCCGCCGTGTGCGCACGTGATACCTATAAATTGTAACGCACGGACACATGAACAACGCGCCCATACATGGTGGTGAGTGTGGGAAAGGGAGGGCCTGCTAAGGGTGTGGGAAAGGGGGGTGTGGGAAAGGTGGGAAAGGGTATGGGAAAGGGGGGGGTGTTTGCTAAGGCTAGGATATGTTTACGCCTGCGAACAGGTTTCGGGATAGGGCGGCGGGATGCATCCAATATATAGTACGTATATTTACGCGACCAAACACCTGTGTGTGCTCACGAGACTAAACACATGATTAGCTGTTTGCACACAGAATAACCTTGAGTTAGAATTTATATAGAACTCGGCTGGTGGAGTATACGATGAGGGATAGATAGCTTTGTCCACGGCCACGCCCCCGGCAGCAGGGATACACGGGGAGAGCTAGATGAGGGATAGATAGCTTTAACCCATCACCCACCCACAACCCATACACCTAACACCCACTATACCCACTCACAACCCACCCCCAACCAATGCATCTACTACCAACCACCACCTACCATCCAATACCCACCCACAACCCACGCACCTATACCACCAAATACCCACCATCTACCAACCCACTACCCACCAACAACCCATCCACAACCCACCACCCGCACAACTCATGCACCTACCACCGGCCAAGCTATATCCAGCCACCCAGCTATCCCACTTATTCTATTATCACCTGATGAAGAGCATCAATCCTCATGTTCCTTGATGCTAACGGTTCATCAAAGGGAAACACCATGGAATAGTTCTTTGCGTACGACTCATGACTTCTCTCCCGCAGCCAGCGCTGGTTGCCTGTCAGGGACCCGGGAAATCTCCTGTATATAAGATATTCATACATAAAGGACCAGCAAAACGTTGTCAATATATTCATACATAAATCTCTCCTTCAAATCCAATCCAGTTATCTTCAAACGGTGTACATGACGTCGTAACACAACAGAACCACAGCGCCCCCTTATAATCACACCTGATGTCATAGTGTCACAGCGTCACAGCATCACAGCACCTCCTACATTCACACCTGATGTCATAGTGTCACAGCATCACAGGCAAAACTCAGACTTCATCCCCTCTTGACCTTCCGCTGGCATCCCTTGTCTCTCGCTCAGCTTCCTTCTTCTTCTACCACCCCTCAGCTATTTTTCATGCCGCTTTTCCTCAGTCTCTCCCTCCTCTCACTCTCAGCAAGCTATATGATATATATAATATACATATATATAGTTTTCTTTAGTCCGTACTGCATATAGCGGAAACGGTTATCGCGCATGCGCAATATCTGCCGAGAAGATTAATATTTTGCAAAGAATATGAATTTAATATGAAGAAGACTTACCCTAGCATAGACTTATATGATAAAATTCTATCAGTAGATCTGACATAAGAAATAGGAAGAAGACCTTACATGTACCGTACGTGCTGCATATACCAGTCAGTACATGATCTGCCTACGTCTGAGCATGCGAAATATCTCACCAGAGGAGTTATATTTTGTGATAAATATGCATTTAATATCGTGATGGGGTATCTCAGCATAGATTCCTGTAATTAATTATTATCAGTACGCCTGTGTTTATAATTGAGAGAGCGCCCTAGCCTGTAGGCTGTAAAACGCAGACTTCGTGCCCTCCTGTCCCTCGCTAGAATACCTTGTCCCTCGCTCAGTCTCCTTCTTCTTCTACCCACCCCACTCTCCCTCTCAGCAAGCTATATGATATATATAATATACATATATATATATAGAGAGAGAGAGAGTTTTCCTTTGTCCGCACTGCACGTCTGAAACAGTGCTCGCACATGCGCAATATCTCCCAGGAAGAGTGATATTTTGCAAAGATTATGCATTTAATATGAAGAGGGGTTATCCTAGCATAAATTTATATAATAACATTTCATCAGTACATCTCTCCTAAGAAATAGGAAGAAGACTTTTTATGTAAGGTCCGTGCTGCATATACCAGTCAGTACATAACCTGGCTACGTTAGGGAGTTAGCGCATGCGAAATATATCAGAGGAGTTATATTTTGTGATAAATATGCATTTAATATCGTAATGGGGTATCTCAGCATAGATTCCTGTAATTAATTATTATCAGTAGGCCTGCATGTGTTTATAATTGAGAGAGCGCCCTAGCCTGTAGGCTGTAAAACGCAGACTTCGTGCCCTCCTGTCCATCGCTAGAATCCCTTGTCCCTCGCTCAGTCTCCTTCTTCTTCGACCCACCACTCTCTCCCTCTCAAAAAGCAATATGATATATTTATATATATATATCACAGTGGCTACGTGTCCGGTCATCCATTACAACGCTCCGCACAGATTCCCAAATCCACGTCACGATTAGGCCAAGCCCTCTTTCAAATCGTTGATTGTACTGGATTTTCTATTGCTTTAAAAGTTACAAAAACAATTTTTTTTGATAAAACACCTAAAGGTAAGTATATTATGGTAAAAACTTATTGTTTATTGTTTTTTACTGGAAAAAATATAGTTGGATTCACATAAGAAATATATGACCGGACGCGTAGCCTGGGAGCTGGGCGTCCGGTAACCGGACGCGTAGCCACGGCCTATAATATAATATAATATAATATACTCTATAACAAATTATTGAAATATAAGATAACCATGCATTTATAATAGAAATAAAAAACCTCATTTTATTCATAATTTTAATATGTATACATACATATTATACATAAGTATGTATATTATAACAAACCTATACATGGTAGGTATTCCTTTCCTAATTTAAGAAGGCACTTTTACGTGTATTAAAAACTTATCATATAACTTAATCATATATGATCGTTATTACGTCTATAGTAGAAATATATGTTCAGTATCACTCACCCACAAATTGTGATGTAAAGCGACAGGCAGTGATTATATTTACCATCTACGTGTTATATTATTACAATTAATGAAACCACCACATTGATATGTTCGCTTAATCAACCAACCACCAGTAATTATGATTGCAACCCTTCCCCTCGTCCCCATCTCTCTTACACATTTTGCCTCCTTTTCATTTCTCTTTCTAACTTGATTCAGTCTCCTTCCCTACCCTTTCTCTTTATCTCATTCTCCCAGTCTCCCACTTTTACTGCTACCTCCTCCCACTCCCTCTCCTCTCTCATCTCACATCTCTCGTTTCTCGTCCCTCCTCTCTCTCCCTTCTCCCTCCTTTCTCCTAACTCGTTCTCTCTGTGTGTCTTGCTCTCTCCTTTCTCCTCTCTTTCTTTCTCTCCTATTCTCTCTTTTTCTTACTGTCTCTCTCTTCCTTTATCTCTTTCCCTTCTCTCCCTCTCTTTCTCTCTCTATTTTCCTCTCTTCCTCTCTCTCTCCCTCCTCTCTTCTCTCTCTCTCTATCCTGTCTTCTCTCATATATTGCTCTTTCTCCTTCTTCTGACTCTGTCGCTATTCTGTTATTGTCTCCTTCTCTCCTGCCTTTTCCTATTGTCTCTGTCACTATTGTCGCTATTGTCACTCTCTACTCTGCGTTCTGCTTCCGTTTTGGCCCCACGCAAACAAGAAAAGCATTGTCATCACAGTCATAGAAAGATTGTCTCCTGCAGAGTATCTCTTACGATAGTCTCCAAGACGTGCTGACTCGCATAAGTAAATCACTCGGGGGAATGCTAGCAGCAACATGGCATCGCTCGAACCCATCGACACGATTCTCTGAGCATCAGAGTGGGGCTTTGAGCGCATCGTACATTCCTTTCACTCGCAGGTTACTGGGATCGAATGGCGACTTGCTGTGTAGTGTGGCTTTGTAGCGTGTTCCCATGCTCTCAAGCTCGTACTCACCCGACCTGGTAACACAAGGTGACCATCATGTACACACCACCTACCTACAGCTCAGCACCCACTCCGCTATGATGTGAGGTGTCTGCGTACGTTTACATACGGATGTACAATTACAGACGCCGTCGCATACTGTACTCTTCTTCAAACGTCGCAATGAGAAATGCCATTACACTAGTAGTCCTAAAAAATTGTAATTGTTCTATGACACATCCTTCTCATCTGGTATAAAATCGTCTTTATACCATTTTTTTCCGAGTCAAAATGCTCTACTACCAGACTATAGTAATGTCCACGTTTCTATTAGGAGTTGCGTACTTCTATTATCTTAACTTGTTTTTAATCAACTATTATCGTTTTAACGCTTATCTTAGTTGTTATAATGGTATATGTGTCCATTATGTTTTCAGCTTACTTTAGGAAAGCCGGGGTGACAGTACCGCCTTCTGGATGCTGTACGTAACCATAGGCCATCGACTTGCCGACAAAAAATGCAAACTCTCCTCGTCTGACGTGGCCCACGATATCTCCATTACGCCAAATTGCCTCCAATCCTAACAGAGGTACGTGCCTGAATAGCAGAATAAAGACACAGTATCACAAACGCATTCACGTAAAAACATTTGGGTTGAAACTTCCAACAATAACGGTGCTTCTTTGTATAGCAATGGAACTTACAACGTGGGTTAATTGTGACCCAAGACTGGGTAACTGAACCAGGTTTTCCTCCAAGATTTGTCACCACGTGTCTTCAGCGACTGTCCCAACTCGAAATTGACAACCGCATCATTGCAAGTCCTGTTGGTGCCCTAGCTATCTTCACTACCAGAGTTTTGCGCATAGCCAGTTAATGGTAAATTTGCAGTACTACCCTTTATACAGTCAAACCTGTATATAAGTATACAGTCAACCCTGTATATAAGGATCAATTAGGAGAACCCCCACTCCCCCCAAAAAAGTATGCATAATATAGAAAGGTGTCTATTCTATTGAGGTCGTTTACCTATATAACCGCCACTCAAGAGAAATGCAGAAAGTGTGCGTTATAGTCAGGTGTCTGTTCTACAGATGAGGCCACTAACGCACATTTTGACTGTAAAAAATCCCTCAGCACAGCAGTGCAGACGAGCACAAAGTCATTATGGCAGCAATCAGAAATCTCTGAGATCTCAGGTGCAGCTCGCCACGTTACTCACTCGTCAATCGTGAAGCACGCTATCCTCTTCTTCAGACCTTCTTTCTTCTGCTTCTCGATGGCCTCACGTCCGAGGAAAGGAATATCACTCTTCAGCTTGCAAGTGAAGGCCAATCCCGCTTCCAACGGGGAATCATCCGCTCTGAGGTCTGCGTGCCAATGCCGATAACCTTGGGAAACGCAGCAAAGGTTATGCAAGGTTAGGGAATGGCAGCCATGATTAAATCACTATAGTGTTACAACTGCACTTTTGTTACGATCCCACGAATTTTAAACTTGACAACAGAGAACAATCTAGTGAGTTCTCCACAACACAAATCACAGTTTAGGGGATGCTCAGGGGTAGAAATTAACTTTTAAACACGGGAGTCCAACGGACTGGACTCCCTACCCTCAAAAAGAGGGAGTCCGCAGTTTAAGGTTCAAAATTAAAGATATTAACAATAACGCATGTGCTTATTTTGAAGATTCATGCGGTTGCACGTCTGCCCAATTTTCTTTGGACATTAGCTGAAAAAATACGGTAATTCTGTGAGGCCGTGCTCTGGAATGAACTAGTTAGTATGGCAGAATTTTTAGAGAGTCACACGGACTCCTGCATATAAAATAATGCAAGATGATATCCTGCATGTCAAATCAGAGAGTCCGACAGTAAATCAGGGAGTATTTGACGCCAGACTCCCGTTAATTTCGCACCCTGGATGCTCGAAGGAAAGAAAATCATGATAATCTCTAAGCACATCATTTCACAGCGTTTGAGCTGCTATGAATACATGTCAGAGGCCTTGAACAGCACTCCACTGCTTGCCTTTCTCAATGCTGAGGGAGTCTATTGCCCGATACCCAGCGTTGCACACTCCGTACTTCTTTGCTTGCTCCATCACTGCCTGGTATACGCCCACAGCTCCCTCATTTGGCACATGCAATTCCCAGCCTGTCAAAAGGAAAAACACCGACAGAAACCATCGATTTAGTTGATCCCAACAGAGAATACCTAGAGAGAATCTTAATCGAGAAATGCCCGTGCTGAATTAGAAAACTTTGTATAATCAAGTCGTTGCCACAGAAGTTCAGCAAAAATCTAAATTACCACATATCTACTTCTAATCACTTATATTTGTGTACATATGAACTTACCCATTTCGCCTACAAATGAAACTCTCATAGCACGTAGCTTTATCTTTCCAATGTTTACAAGTTTGTGAGTTGAGAATGGAAAGTTCTCATTGCTTAGGTCTACATCACAAAGTGGCTGAAGAATATCTCGACTAAAAAGACAAAAACAATCTTCACTCAGAAACGAATAACTCCTATTATTATATGACTGTCATTTTTCCCACACGCTGATTGGTCAAAACCCCTCTTATAGGTCTAAATATATTGCGATGTTCCACCGAAACCTACAGAATCCGTGCACGCGAGGTGAATATAACAGTCCAAAACCCCGTCGGGCGCCTCGCAGGTGAATATTATAATCCAGGAACCTGAAGAGCTAGATGAGGGATAGATAGCTTTATCTCCAGGCACGGAAAGATCGAGCTAGCTGAGGGATAGATATATTTATCCCAAGCACGCCCGCGGCAGCAGGGGTACACGTAGCTCCAAGAAACGGTCTTTGCTAGGGTTAGGAGACCTATATCGACCTATATAGACCTATATATTGACCTATATTGACCTATATAGGATACCTATATTGTATATATTGACGTTAGTCACGCAGCCTGGTCGGTTTAGGGTACACGGGAAGAACTAGATAAGGGAAGATGCGACTTTCGATGAGCTTGTAATCAAGAGCGCATTAACCCCAGCTGGTTAATGCGCTCGTGTTGTAATGCATCAGTAGTGTCAGGAGCTAATAATGACAAGTTATTTATTATTTATTATTTATTAGCAAATGTCATTATTAGCTCCTGGTAGTGTGTTATTAGCAGGCAAGCATCCGCCCATTGCATAGGAGCAGCGGCATCAGCGTTACAACAAAACTCTAAAAGTAAAACCAACGGTAACTTTGTGACGAGCAGCCAAGCACTCTACTGCTAATTAGCAGTAATCATTAGCAGGCAGGCATTTGCCCGTTGCCCAGGTAGCAGCGGCATCAACGCAGAGTTAAAAGTAACCCTAAAAGTAAAAGTAAAAGTAAAAGTAAAAACAACGGTGACTTTGTTACTAGCGGCAACGCTCACACGCCTCGAACGCCTCACCACCGCAAACATTTCGAGTGTTTATAGACCATCAATCGACAACGACGCTCGCCAGTTCCGATCTACCTCTCGCTCAGCAACCCGTCTCATGGAGAGCATATATTATAATCTAGAGTATACTCGAATAGTCGGTTTAGTGCGTGTATATGCCACAACATGCACGAACACATGCATTTCATTCGGGGAACGATATATATCAAGAGTACATAATAGAGAGTACTTATTACTTTATTACTTATTACTATTTCGCTTTTATGTACTCTAGATATATATACGTGCACCTGCCCCATAAAGCCGCTCGGCTGGTTCAATGCAAACATGTTATTTATTTATTGTAGTTAAGGCGACGACGCGCCGTAGATAGCAACGTATTTACGGTCACGTTTCGTAACACGGTTATGGTTGTTCCAATACGGACACGTTTCAAACGTGTGCCGCTGCAATAACGTATCTGCAGAATAGACCATGCAGTTATCTATATATAACTTAATTATATATAAGATTGTCGTTGCCTCACTGGAGTGAAAATGGCAGACGACAGTGTAAACAAACCCGGCTTGACAAGATTTGGAACTGTTTCCGATGACCAGCTTAAAACTAAGTATGGATTGGTGCTACACATGGTTAGGTTTATAAAAATGTCATATAATAAAACAGTTATTGACCTATTTTCAGGTGAATACGAGGATTTATTAACCCTCGAAGGTACGTGATATTTCCCTCGGCCTCCGGCCTCGGGAAATATCACCGTCTCGGGTTAATAAATCCTCGTATTCACCTGAAAATAGGTCAATAATTGTATAATATACATTGGAGAATGTGATCTACTGATTTCTCAAAAACTAAGCAATTTTTGCAAAAAAATGTGACCAACACTGGTGCTGCCACCTGTTGAAAAACATCACAAACACACCTACGAAGCCCTTGCACAGAAATCATGCACATGTCCTCGGAATGATTAGTTATTTGGCAGTCAAAGCCTTGGTCCTGAACGACCGTGCTCAAATGTGACCACGTGTGCTGGCCAGCAGCGCCACCAGCCGCAATGTAATAGCCAGCACCTGAAGCAGAAACGCACCGAATGCATTGCTGAACAAGAGCAATCGGAGACAGCAAACGTCCGCCAAAGCGTAACAGTTCCCCCCATCTTGCTGGTACACCCAATATAATTTAATGGAATTTTCAAAAATTTGAAAAAAAAATCATTTTTTGTTGTTTTGTTTTTCATGAATTTTGAATGCGTAAAAAGTCGAAGAAGTCGGTTTTCGGTCGTACAATGCGACCAAAGTCTTCCCCACAAAATTTTTTTTAAATTGAAAAATTAACAAAAATCCTGGATCCAGATCTGGATGCGGATCACCACCAAAATCTAATCGATTGGTTGTTGGCCCAAGACCAACCCGCCCAAAACATTTCATCAAAATCCGTCCGTAACTTTTTGAGATATCCTGTTGACAGACAAACCAACAAACTAACAGGGGAGAAAACATAACCTCCTTGGCAGAGGTAAAAAGGTTAGTGATGGTCAGCTAGTCACATGAATAATACAACAATAATCACGCTTACTATTCTTTCAACCAAATATAAGCAGAAGTGCTAGTGGCACTTATAATAAAGTTAAGGTTTATTGTTACCCGGTAACCACTGTAGTTTAGAATTCCAATTTCTAACACTCTGCTCAACACATGTGACAAGTGTCAACAGCAGCAGCTTCAAGAAAAAATTTAAAAGATATGCATTCATTATGCTACCTTCAAAGCTTGGATCGCAGGCGGAGCCCGACCCTGGTTCTACAACGCTGACTGTTAGATCTCCTTCTACACCACCTGCTTTATTCAGCATGCATGTGTACACTGTTGAACCTATAAAGGCAATGAATTCCATCGTCACAATATACCCCAACAACCATTTAGAATCAAGACCCCACTGTATAGCCATCATGGTTCTATATGGCTCACATCTATCAGTATCAGTACATATTATTTACAATCTTATGGCATATTCATTGCTGTGAGAAGAAATTGGTTATATGTAACATTTACTACATACATTGTATAATATACTAGATATATACTATCAATATACCTACTATATACTATCATAACAATGATTGTGATAATATATGTTACACACATCAGTGCATAAAATTGAAATATTATCAAACACCTGGTGGCTTCCTTATATCGTTGCTGAAGATCCAATCAACTGCTTTCTGTGAATCAGGGCCAGTCAGGTAGAACTTGCCAAAGTATGACATGTCAAACACAGCCCCAGCTGATCTACATGTCATGCACTCTGTCTCAATCTAATAACACCACAACCCAACAAATCATTACTAATGCAATAAAGTTGTTAGCATTTCACTTCTATATTATTTATTTATATTATATTATATTATAGGCCGTGGCTACGCGTCCGGTTACTGGACGCCCAGCTCCCAGGCTACGCGTCCAGTCATATATTTCTTATGTGAATTCAACTATATTTTTCCCAGTAAAAAACAGTAAACAATAAGTTTTTACCATAATATTACTTACATTTAGGTATTTTATAAAAAAATGTGTTTTTGTAACTTTTGAAGCAATAGTAAATCCAGTAAAATCAACGATTTGAAAGAGGGCGCGTGGCCTAACCGTGACGTAGATTTGGAAATCTGTGCTGAGCTTTGTAATTAATGACCAGACGCGTAGCCACTGTGTATATTATATTATATATATATATATATTATATATATTATATAATATATATTCTATTCTATTCTATATTACTTGCTTTACTCTCTTGCTATTTTATTTACTTGTTACTCACAGATCTTTTAACATGGAATGTCTTATTTGAATTGTTTTTTTTACTATAGGTGGCAGCATGTGTGTAAGACACCAAAACGCAGTTATTTGCAATGACGTTCGTATGGTAGGTAACTTACCACATCGTGATGTTTAGGAAAACTGCAAATGTGTACTCAGCATTTAAGAATATCTCTGTAAGGGATATGGTTTTCTCATTCCTGTTGTAATCCATATGAGCCATAGTAGTCATAATCTCGAATCTGCAAATGCACAGTTCTATAACTACTTCTAGTTTTAGCCAAATACAACCTATAACAGCTGATAGGGTCTATGTCCCCCAGGGAAACTGCCGAACGTACCCTGGTACGGCCGGTATAAACGAACATACCGCCTGGTAACGATCCTACTGATATGTTAGGGTTAGGGTTTAGGTTATGTTTAGGGAGGTTAAGAGTTAGGGTTAGGGTTAGGATAGGCAATAGGCGACTCCTTAGACTCGTTATGGAGTGAGGCGAGGTATAGCGGTCCGCATATTAAATAGTAGTATTTAGTACAGGTAACGTATCCGATATATCCAGACCCAGTACCCCAGGTACTTCCGGCAGACCCTGAGGGGGACAATAGACCTCTATTCAGCCCAATATAACATGGTATTGATTTACTAGAGGAAATTACAATTTTAACAGCCCATCGAACATCAAAGTTAAATACACATCTGTGTATATTTAACTCTTTGATTATGTAATACTTAACACAGAGCTGGCGCCGTTAGGAACCATTGAACTAGGCCAGGTCTTCTCCCAAACCATCGCCGCTCTGAACACGCCCACCCAGCTGGTCCAACAAATACCTGAGAAAGGTAGGCAGAAACTTTTATAACCAACAAGCATCATTCAATACATGATCAGTCATATAATTCTAATGAAGGCAAGCCATGAATCATTGGACGCACACCTAAAGCCAACCACGCACCCTGTAGAGTCAATCAACCACCATCCACGGCTGGTCCACATCCCAGTTACACAGAACCCACTATATCCTACAATACTTAATACGCCACTCAGCAGGTGGCACCTGCTGCCGACAACTCCACCCACTACTCCCACAAACCCACCTATCACACCGCTTCTCACCTCCAGTACACAGAACCCACTCTACCTACCCAACTTAATACCTCACGTCCACCACCAGTCAGGTGGACACCCTGCTGCCAGCACATATTCCCCGCGGCCCCATCACCCAGGTAGTCCAACCTACCCTCTCCACAACCCACCATCCAGTCATAACGCAACTGCCACAACCCATGCACTCTACAACCCACCCGACAAATCCCATTGCACGGGCTCACCACCTACCACTTACCGCCCAGTCCTAATCACCTATCCACCTGCCCCCACGCACCACCCACAACCCATAGCACCTACCCAATCTCACACCCACCACACCCATGCACCTACCACCCCCACACCCACAAATCCATTCACCTATCAACCATACCAACCCACTACCTCACGCCTAAAGCCAACCATTACTCACACCCTACACCACGGCCTACCACTCCTACACCCATCACCCGCACCCACAAAACCCATACACCTAAGCACCCACACTACAGCCGCCTCACAACCCCCACCACACGCCCGGCCCACCACAATTAATCGCGAGATGGCTACTACCACCACATACCACCTACTCATCAAATACCACCCACAACCGCAACCCGCACTAACCACCTAATACCCCATCTACCACGCGCACTAACCCCACCATCTACACCCACTACCTATCCACCCACTACCACCACACCCACCCACACCCACCACCCACCACCACACACAACGCCATACCACGCTATCACCAACTATACCCACTTCACAACGCCACCGCCAACCAAATGCAGTGCTACTACGAACGCACCACCTAACATCACAATTACCCACCTCCCACAACCACAACTCACCTATACGCCACCAAAATACCCATCCATCTACCAACCCTAAACCCTTTCACTTTTCAAACACGCCATCCACCAACCCCACCACCCAGCTACAACTCATACACTGCTAACCACCGGCCATACTATAAATCCACGCAACACCCACTATCCACTTATTCTATTATCTACCTGATGGATAACATGCCAACGCTCATGTTCTGAGTTCTAACATGTCTCAAAGGGAAACACCTAATGGAATCAGTCTTTCGTACTGACTCATGACTTCTCTCCCGCACCAGCGCTGGTTGCCTGTCCAGGGACCCGGAAATCTTCCCGTATATAAGATATTCATAACATAAAGACCAGCAACGTTGTCAATATATTCATACACACATAAATCTCTCCTCAAATCCAATCCAGTTATCTTCCAACGCGTGCTTCATGACGGTCGTAACACAACAGAACCACAGCGCCCCCTTATAATCACACCTGATGTCAATTAGTTCTACAGTGTCATCAGCATATCAGCACTCCTACATTACCCCTTGATGTCATAGCTGTCACAGCCCAGCACAGCACCTCCTAATATTCACACGCTGATGTATAGTGTCACAGGCAGCACAGCACCGTCCTACATTCACACACTGATGTCATATCAGTTCACAGCATCGCAGCACCTCGCATATCCATTTGCCACAACCTGATGTCATATATCACCAGCATCCCACAGCACCGTCCTACATTCACTACCTGATTCATAGTGTCACAGCAGGCACAGCACCTCCCTAATTCTACACCTGAATGTCATAGTGTCACAGCATTCGCAAAGCACCTCCTACCATTCACAGACCTGATTTATACTATCACAGCATCGCACGCACCGGTCCTACATTCACACCTGATGTCATAGTGTCACAGCAGCACAGCACCTCCTACATTCACACCTGATGTCATAGTGTCACAGCATCACAGCACCTCCTACATTCACACCTGATGTCATAGTATCACAGCATCGCAGCACCTCCTATATTCACACCTGATGTCATAGTGTCCAAGAAACCAGCAGCATCAGCACCGTCCTACATTCACACCTGAGTCATAGTGTCACAGCATTCGCAGCATCCATAACATTTCTACAACCTGATGTCATACGTGTCAACAGCAGCACAGCACCTCTAACCATTCACGAACTCATGTCATAGTTTCACAGCAGCACTATGCACCTCCTATATCACGACCTGAATGTCATAGTGTCACATCAGCACAGAACCTCCTATATTCAACACCTGATTCCATATAAATCAGCGAGAGCGCAGCACTCATCCTACCATCACACCTGATTCATAGTGTCAACATCATCACTAGCACCTCTCTACATTCACACCTGATGTCCATAGTGTCACCAGCAGCACACACCTCGCTACAATTCACACACGCTGATGCATAGTGTCATCGCAAGCCAGCAACCTCCTACATTCAACTGATCATAGTGTCATAGCAATCACAGCACTCTTCCTATATTCACACCTGAATTCTAATAGTGTCACAGCAGCACAGCACCTCCTCTCTACATTTCTACACCTGATTCATAGTGTCCACAGCATGCCACAGCCACCTCCTATATTTCACACCATGATGTCATAAAGTGTCATATGCATTCACAGCACCTCCTACATTCACACCTGATGTCATAGTATCACAGCATCGCAGCACCTCCTATATTCACACCTGATGTCATAGTGTCACAGCAGCACAGCACCTACATTTCACACCTGATGTCATAGTGTAGCATCCCTACAGTAGCCCGTCACACGTACCCGTTGTCAGTGCATAAGTGCATAAGAACACCACAGCGTATGCACTATGCGCACCTTATGTCGTAGCCGAATAGATCGAGATCTGGACGGCCATTAACGATCCACTTGGCAAGCTCGCGTCCGCACCCTGGCCCCATCATCATGCCGCTGCTGTTGAAACCACAGCCTAGGAAGAAGCCACGAACCTCTGGCGACTCTCCCATCAGCGGCTTGTGGTCGGCCGTGAACGATTCTGCAAATAACATCAGATAACATCACAGATGCACACACATGCTACGAATCAGGTATCATCCTCAATAAGTAGTACACGCGTGGAAAGTTTCACATTCCTATACGAATGCACATCGCGTGCTTATCCGCCTAATTATCACTAGGTGAACTTTTCAGGAAAACATTCATGGAGGTGAAGTAATGAGGACGTTTTTAGTTTTTAGTTGGCACTGAGGTCACAATCTGGTTAGACAGGGAAGCACTACTTTGCAGCTTTGCCTCGAACAGCTTATCTAGAAATTTAATCATCATGTTGACAAGAACCTGGGCCGCACACCGTCGACTTGACACCCGTCTCGCCTATGGCAGGCACACGGTTAACAGCGCCCTCTATATGCACGGAGAAAACGTCCCAGTCCAGGTCATACAGAGAGAAGGCAAAGTCGTCTTTTACCTGGATGTACGAAAATCAACGTGTGTATGTGCTATTCCCTCCAACTCCAGCACCTACTCCCTTCCTCCCCTCCCCTAACCTTTCTACTACCCCCTCTATTGTGAGCCAACAACACATCATGTTAGATCAGAACACATTAGGTAACTTGACCCCATAGTCCAGTGGTGTCGCTATGGATATGCCAGAAACAGTTAGTGGGGAGAGAAATTTCGGTGTGGAGCATAATCCCACACGATGGGCTAACAACTTCATCCATAAAACAGGGAGTAGCATTGCCAGACAAAAACTCGTCACGGAAACTGAACCAATGCAGCTGCGGCAGCCCTGCGCTCCAGGAATGAAGCCAACAGCCAACAGAAATCCCACGTGGCAGTGCCGTAGCATACCTCGTCACAGAAGATGGGATGCGGTTCATATCCGCCGACAGATAGTGCATCACCCTGCAGCTTCAAGTAGACAGACGCATCATGATCACGCACGTTCGGCATGTTCTGTATGCCCTCAATTCGCTCCGTGACAACATACGCATGGTGCATGGCGATCAGGGGCACCTTCACGCCTGCCATCGCTCCCAGCTTTGGTGCCCACGCACCTGTGAACGCATACATAAAATCTACATCACACATTTCTAGCAACGATCACTAGCAAATGACGACGAGCAGTGCTGTTAATTGCTGCTGCTGCTGTTGCTGTTATTTTTTATGTTTTTTTTGTTGCTTTTGTTGTGGTGCATCTGCTACCTAAACATGATGAACATTATCGTCCCTGCCCCTCATTCCAAATAATAATACTAGAGGCAGAGCAGGTTAGATACGTCCCCCGATTGCTGATATATGAACCACAACTAATGCTAATTATAAGAAATACCCATAATGCTAGTGCCTACCTGCGCAGTTGACGACACAATTTGTCTTGATGAAGCCGTTTGACGTCTGCACACCTGTCACGCGGCGCACGCCGAAGTCATCGTCTTTCGTGCTGATACCTGTCACCTGAGCCTTTGTTATTACCTGCAACGGAGCGAAATTAGCTGTCACAATCATCGCACCCTTAGTCAATGCTCTTATCAGCAGGGGCATTCTACAAGCAGCATCACGCACACACGAGGACTGTGCGAATGTGAGAGAGAGAATAATTGCTCAATATAATGAATAATACTGTACTGAAAGGCAATCGTAATTGGGCCAATTATTACGCTTGGCAATAGTGTGCATTCCGTTCTAATGACAAATGATTTTGCGAGTTGATCTAACTGTAGGTAAAACAAGATGATCTGTGTGGAGTAATAGCACTATGCTATTCATTATACATCAGTTTTTAGTAAGGTCATTGCCCACCTGAGCTCCAGCTTTAGTTGCTGCCCTAGAGAGGGCAGTGCATATGCCCGCGGGATCAATCGTGCCATCAGCTGGACTGTACAGCGTGCCGTACACATCTTCCACGTTCATCAATGGATAGAGCTTCTTTGTCTCCTCTGGGGATAGCACATGTGACGTGATACCGTACACACGGCCAACCTGCACGACACGAGCAAAATACACACACATGCCTCACTGTGGATGACAATGTCAGAAACCACTAGAGTTTTAATGTGTATATATACATATATTTTGATGACAACGCAAATAAGCGATTCACGTGGAAGAACATTACAGATGTTGTTATGAGAGTCTATATCATTATTTTTGCAATGACTTTTCATTTTTGGCTTTGTGAAAATGTGCAAATGTGCAAAGTGCAAAGTGCAAATGTGAATTTAAATTTGCTTGATCGACAGGGCATATACACAATTAACTCGCATGAATGTGAAGTCATCTGCAGAAAAATTGAGGCGACCGTGTACCGTGGACAATCGTTTGTACTCGTTCAGCCTCTCCTTGTTGTTTGCGATGAAGAGGCCACCATTTTGAATCCAGCCTGTACTTATATCTGTCTCAGCCTCGAGGTCTGACATCAGCTTAACAGCATACTTGAGCATTTCCACCTCTGTGTCAGTCGGTCTCAAGTTCCAAACCAGACCTGATCGCAACAACGAAATTGCCTGTTCATGAGCTAGGTATTTGTTTCCTACATTCGCTGAAAATGTGTATAGCATTATGCAAAACCTCGGACCACACAATTATTGCATTTGGCCCCTTGAAAGAGTGCACGTTTGCTACAACTGGCAGGTTAGGCAGGTTATAGTCTCAGTAACCTGCCAGTTGTAGTAAACGTGCACTCTGAAGAAGTTGTTATCAGTTAGTTCAGTTCTATAGAAGTTGTCTGAGAGATAAAGTGACGTGGTTGGTTTTAAAATGTATAATGTTGCCTTATATATTGCCCCTTAATTGTATTAATTAAGTTACATGCACATCTATACTAATCCATCACACTACAACTATGGCATCATGCAGCGCTTTGTATATATGCCTTCTCACCAGCAGTGTGCCAGGTTGTTCCAGCTGTCAGTTGATCCTTCTCCAGGAGAACCGCATTTGTGATTCCGAGCTTTGTGAGATGGTAGAGTGTATTGCAGCCGAGCGAGCCACCTCCGATGATGACGACGTCCGCAGCACTAGGCACCGTGCTCGGTTCACCTGCCTGAGAAACGCACAGACAATGTTTAGTTATGACTCGAATAATGCAATCTCTCTCTCTCTCCCCTCCCTCTCTATCAGGAGTAGATAATAGGGAAGGAGAAATAAACAACCTTCAATAAACAAGAGAAATTCGTCATTTACTAGCTTTATAATCAGTGTTGTAGGTCTCGAGGCCGGTCTTGGCCTCAAAACCGTTTTTCTTGGTCTCGGTGTCGGTCTTGGCCTCGGAGTGCAATGACTCGGACTCGGACTCAGACTCGAACCCTCCGGACTCAAGGACTCGGGTCGAGGCCACTACATACATAGTACACAACTGTACATATTGTAACACGCAGTTTACAAGAATTTAAAACTAAAACTCCTAGGTTTTCTAGATACACGGCCTAATCTTGTAACGTTTTCAATGGCTCGATTAAGATTCTTGTCCCTTTGGTTTGAATCTGCTGTTACTTCGTCCCTTTGCGCTTTTTCTACCACTTCTTTCTCTTCTTCTACCACTTCGAAGGTACTATCACTCTCATTTGGTTCAACAAGCCGTGTCATTCTCGTAAAACGCAAATGGATCCGTTACTTTGACACGTTTCGTATGACTCGTGTCTCTGTGTTTTCGGCTGACTATACACTTTCGAATGTCTACGATGCACTGTTGCGATTTTTTCCCTTTTTTCCCGATTTTTCCCCTTTTTTTAATCAAAACTGGACTCGGACTCGGACTCGGACTCGGACTCGGGAGGTGTGGACTCGGACTCGGACTCGGACTCGGGTGGCGCGGACTCGGACTCGGACTCGGACTCGGACTCGGACTCGGGGGGTGCGGACTCGGACTCGGACTCGGACTCGGACTCGGACTCGGGGGGTGCGGACTCGACTACAACACTGCTTATAATACCTACGACTTACTACGCGTAACTCATCCAACTTGAGCTCAAATCGTACACAGTACATTCGCCTAGCATCGTGCGAAATCGTTTCCTCGTATACACCAGCAATCCGGAGATACAGGCTAAAACGTACGGCACGATTATCCATTTTTTTTGGCCATCAATCCGAACGTATTCCCCGCCGAACTTGCAAACAAAAGGCAGCTACTAACGCACTGTGGCTCACTCGGCAAGGCGGTGTGGCTCGCTGGGAGATTGGACATCGACGCAACACTCGGCGAGATAACCTTTGACCCGACATACAGCTACATACCGGCATACCAGCATACAGCTGGCCCCCCACGCACGCACGCCCGCCGCAATCTCCCTGCAAGCCACACGCCTTGCCGAGTGAGCCACAGTGCGTTAGTAGCTGCCTTTTGTTTGCAAGTTCGGCGGGGAATACGTTCGGATTTATGGCCAAAGAATGGATAATCGTGTCGTACGTTTTAGTCTGTATCTCCGGATTGCTGGTGTATACGAGGAAACGATTTCGCACGATGCTAGGATAATGTACTGTGTACGATTTGAGTTGGATGAGTTACGCGTAGTAAATCGTAGGTATTATAAAGCTAGTAAATGACGAATTTCCCTTGTTTATTGAAGTCACACTCCTTCCCTATTATCTACTCATGTTTCTATCTATCTATCCATCCATCCATCCATCCATCCATCCATCCATCCATCCATCCATCCATCCATCCATTTATCCAAGTAGCTCTATATATCTATCTCGCTCTGTCTCTCTCTCTCTCTCTCTCTCTCTCTCTCTCTCTCTCTGTATAACTGACACACTGGATGTTCTCTACTACACCTTGACTAACCTTCACGATTATATTTTGCACCAGTTATACCGTTTGCTCATTGTTAGTTTGTGTATGTGTAAGGAGCTTGGTAGGGATCTTACCTGTCCATCCTGTAGTGTTTTGTATGGGACGCCACTACTAGAGGCCTGGCTGTATGACCGCCGCATCAGACGCCGTACCACATGTCCACCACACTGCCTCATCAGCATCTTACTAAGTCAGTGGTAGACTTGGTTATATATTAACCAATGCTATCGTTAACGAGCTATACGAGGAAAACAATATAGTTAGATACATATGAGAGCACACTAATCTTTGCCCTACAAAGTCATACACCACTTTCTCATTGCCTACGTGCTAGAGCGATACACGGCTGCTGATCTCACTTCAATACAACACGTAGGCCTACTTCTTTCTTCATAAATGACCTTAATTTACAGGCGGTTATAGACATAGCATTTTCACTTTGTTATTCTATGCTAGAGAGATGAACCTATGTGTGCCAGCTGTAGACATGCGTTCATGAATGCTATCACTGATCAAATATTACTAGATCAAACCAGTCTTGTCCGGTCACATTGCACCGGTTACAAAGATTTTTTGCTTAATTGCTTGCCATAACCTCACTGGCCCAGTACAAATGTTATCAGTCCTCGCCAAAAGCGTCAACCGGTGATTTTGCACGAGTCCGACAAGAAATCAAGAAATTTGGCTTTACCAGACCGTGTGTCCGGTAACATTATATCAACTAATTACGCAGAGACTACGGGTACGGCAGCACCACCCACTATGCCTAACCCTAACACTAACTCTAAACCAAAGATCGTGTAGTGCGGGGGATCTTTGCTCTAAACCGACTCGGCTATCTTATATACGCGTGTACCAAATTAATCTATGGTGTGGGAAAGCGATAGGAAGAGATTGGCTGTTATATGATAAAAGATAAGAAAATGATGACATGCAATGTGTGTGTGAACTATCATGGGAAGTTTGTAGGTTCAAGCTTTAATAGAGGACAGAATTATTTCATTAAAGAATGCAATAACTTTAAGAAGTCAAGTATTACTGACCATGAGCAGAGTAAATATCATGTGAAAGCTATGGAATTAAGGAAGGCAGCTACAAGCAGCCAACATGATATTGCTATGTCAAGGGCTGACCGAGCTTTGCAAACAATCAAGGAAGCTGACCGGCAGAAACTTGGTTATTTATTCAGAAATGCTCATGCCACTGCTAAACGAAGCAGACCGTTGACTGATTATACCTGGATCACACAACTGGACAAGGCCAAAGGCCTAGAAATAGGTGAAACCTACATTAATGACAAAGCTGGCCTTAAGTTTATCAAATGCATTGCTGATTGTACGCGTCACGAAATGGATGAAAAAATAAACGATGCTAGCTTTTTCAGCTTTATCATGGACGGGTCAACAGGCATAGCTGGTGATGAGCAGGAAAGCATATATGTTAGATATGTCCACAAAGGAAAAGCAACACAGATGTGAATGTGTTTTAATGTTTCAATATTTTTTTGGTCCAGTAACATATCATTCGGTCTGGTAAAAATCTATTTTTTACTGGACCGAATGTCCAGTAAAAGATTTTGTCTTTTGGCGAGGACTGTATTATACTGACTGAATTTCTTTCCCTTTCCTCACATTTTGAAATACATAAGTCCGGACCTATTTGCATGGCCCTGCAAATGAAGGAGGGGCAAGCATGCTTTGAAGTAGCTCTAGAACTATAGCCCTCCGCTCCACCTCAATCCTCCTGCGGCGGAGCGGAGGGCTATAGTTTTTTTGTTGGGATATTGTTTTCCTTTGATGAGCTTCAGGTCCTTTGCCACCCCCGTTCTTCATCTGTCAAATCATGTATTGTGACCTGTCATTCTCATATCTTCCGTTGTACACTGTATGTATGTATGTCGTATGCACAAAATAATACACATCTTTGAATCTTGAATCTTGAATCAATAGTTCTAGAGCTAGCTTTGAAGGAGGCCAATTAGAATAAGTTGAAACAAACCAAGTTGGCCGGCCCGCTTTCAACGTGTGTGTACGCAAGCAATGTGGTGCCAGGCGCGCGCAAATATATACGTATGCACATAATCTTATTTAGGTGACATAAAAATACAGTTGAATGACGTAACAAGCTAAACTGCGCATGCACAGTCAATACGTGCCAACCTGGCACGCTTCAGACATTTGTGTTCGCTACAATTTGACGAGCGCTAAGCGTGCGCCAGACCCTGATGAGTGATGTGGGATCAAATTTTGCAGTCTGTATGGGGTATAGACTGGTACTCGCTCCTACCTCTCGGCTTATCTGGTTACTCGATGGGGGGTAACCATCTCATCGAGTAATCGAGGTGGGAGCGAGTATACCAGTATGGGGTATAATAAGGCAGAGTTGCCAACATGGGTCACTGTCGCTGAGAGGGTCTATGTCCCTCAGGGTAGTGCCAGAACGTACCCTGGGTACGGTCCGGTATACCGGAACGTACCCTAGCTGGTACTATCTATAATATGCCGGCAGCAGACCGTACCTCGCCTACTCCAATAACGAGTCTAGGGAGTCGCCTACGCCTACTCCCTAACCCTAACCATATCAGATAGTTACCTCAGGTACATATATGTCACCTACGCCTACGCCTACTCCCTAACCCTAACCATATCAGATAGTTACCAGGGTACGTTCCGGTATACCGGACCGTACCCACTACACAGGGTACGTTCCGGCAGTACCCTGGGGACATAGACCCTATGAGTATGAGTATGAGCACAGGCACTTGAAGCGTTTCAATAAAATATATACGCAGGGGTCGTGTGCTGTGCACGGCGACAGTTAAATATATATAGTTATAATAATAGCTATATATTTAACTGTCGCCGTGCACAGCACACGAAGCCTGCGTATATATTTTATTGAAACGCTTCAAAGTTCAAGTGCCTGTGAGTATCGCTGCATGAGAGGGTCTATGTCTCCCAGGGTACTGCCGGAACGTACCCTGGCAGGGTTCTCCCTACGTTGCGCAAACGAGGCGCGCGCGCCCCGTTTGGGAAAACTCCCCCCCTGTTTGAATCGTTGCGCCCCGTTTGAATTACCTCCGCCCCGTTTAAATTCCACCACAATAAAAGTTTGCCAGCGCGGGAATCGACCGTCAAGAATTGCCGTTCGACCAGGACACCCGACGCGTGTATTTTTACTGTCCCACGCATGCACTGCAGACAGTACACAAGTTAACCTGTCAATGCACAGTTAACCTGTAACTAACTAACCGTACACCGACTCGGCTATCTTATATATACAAGAACCCCAAATACCGTCTATGGTGTGGTGGCGATTTTACGCATTAATTAGTCGTACGGTAAAAATACACGCCCCCCGGACCCCCTAGTTTCCCCCCTCCCCCCCTCCCCCCTAGTTCCCCCCCCCTCCCCCTCCCCCTACCCCTCCCCTCCCCCTGTTTGAGTTTCATCCTGGAGAGAACCCTGCCTGGTACTATCTAATATGCCGGACCGTACCTCGCCTACTCCACTAACGCGTCTAGGGAGTCGCCTACGCTTAACCATATAAAATAGTGCCCAGGGTACGTTCCGGTATACCGGACCGTACCCAGGGTACGTTCCGGCAGTACCCTGGGGGACATAGACCCTATGAGCTCCACTAACGAGTCTAGGGAGTCGCCTACGCCTACTCCCTAACCCTAACCCTAACCATAAACCTAACCCTAACCCTAACCATATAAAATAGTGACCAGGGTACGTTCCGGTATACCGGACCGTACCCAGGGTACGTTCCGGCAGTACCCTGGGGGACATAGACCCTATGAGCGTGAGTATATGAGCGTCACTGTCGGAATAGTCGGACACAATAGTTACACATCTGTCACAAACAAATGTTAGACAAACACATCTTAGAAAAACTCTTTTACTAAATACTGCAATTGAAGCTTGGAACTCTCTACCACAGCAAGTTAGGACAAATTCTGTTTATTCTAGTATAGTGTTCAGAAATGTCTGATGGAAAAGGTAGACTCATTAGAGGCAGAGGAGTATGATTTTCACTAAAAGAATTCGGTTGAAATTAGGCATAAGAAATGTTTGTATCGTCTTATGAAAATGTACCATTGTATGACCGTATTCTGTATATTTCAATAGTTAGTTCTGATACTAGTAGTAGTAGTACTAGTAGTAGTGCAATTGTTAGATTTCAAGGCATAGCAAAACAAGGACCACAATGTAAATAAGTGTGCTAGTCATGCTTTTTGTGTATATATATATCCTTGGTAATTATCCAATTTTATGAATTCAAATTTTTATTGTAAAAGTATGCAATGTATTGTATCAGGAGTTAATAAAAGACAAAGAGAAGATTGACAAGAAATTTTGAAGAATAAAAGACAAAGAGAAGAGACAAAGAGAAGATTTGTCTTTTATTAACTCCTGATTGTATGTATATGATGGATAATTGCCTAAAATCAAAATATAAAAAAATATAAAAAATAAAAAAAAATCTGTCACAAACTTACGTTTGTACCGCTACCTTTCTATAAATAATCCATAACTAAAAGTAATAAGTAATACCACATGACAATGTCTGTTTTACGTACAATGTTGCGAGAGAGTCACGGCTGAACGGCTGCACCACTTTGACAGCAAATACGTGCTCTGACAATAGTGCGCGCTTGTGGCGTCAGGTAGCGCTGTTAGCATATTTATGAGTACAGTAACTGCAGTAACTAGCTCCTCGCCACTAAAGAAGGTGTTCGTGCGAAATTCTTCAGGAAAAATTGTAGGTTATCGATATTATTGAACGTCATTAGTTATATTGTTGTGGATCTTGAGCGATGTAGTTCAAGCAGTTAAGGTTACGTAATACTAGTTACAGAGTCATTGAGCTGATATAGAAAAGAGAGAATGTCATTCACCAATCTGTGTGCACCACAGGCACTTGAAGCATATCAACAGTAAACATACGACCCGCCATCGCGCGTACACTGACACATATACATATGTACATATACATATATACATATGTATATATATATATGTATATGTGTCAGTGTACGCGCGATGGCGGGTCGTACGTTTACTGTTGATATGCTTCAAGTGCCTGTGGTGTGCACTGCGCACCAAGCACTCTGAGTCACTGTGTCACTGCCACCACGGCACAGGCACTTGCCTTGGAACGTCTCAATAAAAAAAGGTAAATAAACACGAAATGCATTTACTACCAAAGTCTTAATGTTTCTCTACTCTATTTCGCATATTATTGCCGATAATCACCAGTAAATGCCAGTCAAATGCTCATCTGCAACACACAAGTAGGCCTACACCGCACGCACGCACGCCCTTATGGCCTTAAGGCCAAGCCACACTGCAGCGACAACGACCGACCGTAACGACAAACGACAACAGTCGTGGCGACTGGCGCAGCCACACTGCAGCGACAACGACCGACCGTAACGACAAACGACTTTTCAGAAAATTAGAAACTATTGTTTCCTATGAGCCATTGCACACTGACGCGACGACGACCGGCGACAACCTCGACGAC